AAAAAAAAAAAAAAAACAACGAAGGGGTCACGGCCACCGGACCCATGAAGTACAAAAGCCTGAGGTGAAGAAAAACTGTTTTGAACATGGAGTGAATTCGACGCAACGACATCCGGTGCGAGGATTCCACTTAGACAACCAGTGGGTAAGTGAATAAGGGTACACAGCTGTCTCTTCTTTGTCTCCTTTCTTCCGCGTCACACGCGCACACACCTCTATAATCCCTCTCTCTCTCTCTCTCTCTCGCTCACACACACACACACACTTTATCTACCCCTTGTAGATGCTGTTCATTTTGCCTCATCCTCGCCGCGTGGGTAATGACCGTTTTCGCAATAGTGCATGCTGACTTCTGCTGCGGTGCCGATTGGCTTTAATTCAGCGGCATCTTCGCAAAGTGATCGTGCCGTTGTGGCGTGTAGACACCGCCGCTGCCATAGCCCTCCATCCGATGTCCACCATAGGGGTGGCTGGTGCTGCCTTTGTAGCCATTCCACGGCTGCGGCACTGGGCCGGGTACATAGAAAGGCAGCTGCATCACCGGCACGTGATGGTACGCCATGGGGGCTGTCGCCACCGCCGCCTCTGCTGGTTGTAGATGAACTGCCGGTTGCTGCAAGACCTCCATCGCGTACGCTGAAGCACATCCGCCAGGGCTCTGGACAGGGGCGTAATGTACCGCTGCATTTGGTGGAAGCTGGAAATGGGGCTGCGCTGTTGTCGCTGGTGCCATCACAGGATGGAACACGGCGTTCTGCCCGGGCGAAGAAAGTCGCTGCACAAACGGCACCAGCGAGTGAATGAAGTTACAGGACGCGCCCAGGTTACACATTTTATTGAACTGAAAGTGAGCACAGTGACGAGCCTTAAAATTATTCAGGTTGGCTGCCTCCGTGTTGGATTCGTCTGCCCCACTTAAAGGCCCTGCATCTGCCCCACTGCTGCTGCTGTTGTTGTTGTTGCTGTAGTTGCTGTTGGCGAGCACACTGTACACGTTTGACGCGCCAAATGTCTGGAGAATCAACTCGGACTGAATAAGCTGCGGCACACTCTTGCCCTGATTCGGTGGGTACACCCGAAACATAACCCCAGGGGGCATTGTCGGGTAGTTATGGCTGTTCCTGCCACCCTGCAGCTCCTCAGGTGACGCCTCACGTCCTTCCATCACCGCGGTGCTGATAACGTTCTCGTTGATGTGCACCCACGTGGCGGTTGGCACAGAGCGCGCGTGAATGTACTGACAGTTCTTCCCACGTGTGCAGCGTTTATGCAAGTATCGCTTGCATAACTGAAAGCGGAACCTCGACTGGGCACCGTATGTCTCACTCAGAATCAAGTAGCGCACAGCACCGCGTGTCGCCACAATGCTGGAGCTTTCAATGGTGTAGTGCTGTTGAACCTCAGCGTCGTAAACGGAGAAATGAAAACCCAAAGGGCATAACACTTCCTCCTCGGTGCTATTCATCATCATCCACTGCAGTACACTCGAATGAATAACAGCAACAGTGTCCACAGGTGGAGGCTGTTGGGGGTACTGCTCCTGGATCTGATTCTGTTCTTCTTGTGGCTGCTGCTGCTGCTGCTGCGGCGGCGGCGGCGGCGGATGTGTAGGGGACTCTTGCCTATGCGCGGTATTGGATCTTCTGGGGGTCACGGACGCCACAGGCTCTATCATCTTCTCGCCGTTGTTGATATACCCCTGCTGCTGCTTACCTCCGTCTCCCTTGTCCTCTTCCTCTTCATCCCCCCGCATTCTCTCCAGGAGTGACGCATCCGCCTGATCCGACATCATCGGCGCCTTCACGTCGTTGGGGCGCAGCGTGACGTTGTACGCCTCAATTTCGCCATCCTCGTCGTCGCCGTGGAGTTTGCACCACTCGCCATCGTAATCAATGTCTGGCAGCTCACTCTTGTGCTGGGCGGCGTGGCTTGACGCCCGTGCGGTGCTCCACGAGGCGAGTGAGGCAAAGCTAGCGTTGAATGTCCCATGTTGAAGCGTATTAAGGCGGAGAAAATCGGCACCGCTAGCAAGCGACCGCGGCGACTGATGCTCCTCGGCGCCGTAGTGCGAGGGCAACACACTGTCCACGTCAAAGTTACACGACGACCGGCGCACGGATATATCGTCCAGCGCGTGCGCCACCGGGTGAGACAGCGGCAGCCCGACGAGATGGTTCGGGTTGGGCGAGAAGAATGCCCCCGTCGGCTCGTACGGGCCGCTGAAACTGTGGTGCGTCATCGGTGAGGAGCGCGACGACTGAACCGACACGCTGCGCTGCCGCGCGCTGGTAGAACGAGGGCGCTGAAACTGCAACACGGGCGACACACTCGACAGCGACGTCGACAGGCTGAGAGCCGCAGGGCCGGCGGCGGCGGCGGTGCTGTTTGTCGTCGTCGGCCAGAAGCCAGTGCTCCGCCGCGGGCACAGAACGCTGTTTGCGCGATTGCGGTTGATCGATGACGCCGGCGGACATTGGCGCTGCACGTACGGGTTGTCGCACACGGACGCACCAGACAGACGCGGCTCGGGCCACTCCTCTTCGCCCTCCACACCCCAGGCAAATCCACCGTCACTTCGAAAGTGGCTGTGATCATAGGAAGCTGCTACCAAACCACTCCTGCTGTCTCTACCGGCACCGCCGCGTGTGCTGCAGCTGTTGTAGTTGTGGCTGTGGTTGCTGCGTGTGGAGACGGTGATGGACGGGCGGCCGGAGATTCGTCCAGATGTGGGAGAATTCCGCGCCGCCGCCGTCGTTTTGACGGCCACAGTGAAGCCGCTGCCAATGATGTCCTCGTGTACGCCACCAGGGCCGTCGTTATTGCCGCTGGTCGCCGATTCAATGGTCGGTGACATCGGCGACACGGCGTACGGGTTGTGTCGCCACGACACGGGCGACAGCGTGCGCTCCATCGGGGAGCTGGTGTGATGCATCTGCACCGCATCCGACGTGAGGTAGTGTTGCTGTCGCCCCACGCTCTGCGGCGCGGGACTATTTCTGATGCGCTCCTTGCTGACGCTACTGTTGGTGACTGACTCGATTCCATATTTGGTGCCGCCCCCTGTCGAGTCGGCCTCCAGAGACGCATACGCGTCACCGTGCCGCCTGTCAGCTGCCTCGCCCGTTATTGAACTCAACGCTGCTGCGGCATCTGTTGGTGCAGTCTCTACGCCGGGCTCCGTAGGCACTTCTCGCGGCGTCACAGCCTCCCCGGTATTTATTTCTGCTGACCACGTTGAGTCGCACCGCGGCCCAGCCGCAGAGCTGGATAGCGGTGTGACGTGCGCCATACGACCAGGATGCCAGCCCACGATGGGGAAACGAGCAATCGGGCCAACAGCAAAACAAGCAGGTCTCCCCCAAGTCAAAAAAGAACAGAACACCCACGATTAAGTGGATGATAAAATGAGTAAAGCTCTTTGGAGGGATGGGGTGGGGGGGAGAAAGAAAGCAATGTATAAGATATTTAAAAGAAAAGCAAGAAGCAAAAACCGTATTATATTCCTTATCCTCTGATTTTGAATAAGAGAATGGCCGCACTCTCCTACACGCGTGTCCTCCTCCTTCCTGCTGCTGTAAGAGTGCGGCACTTTCCCTTGTGGTGAATGTGGCTGCGAGTCCTGCAGTCACAGCGACAAGCGCAAAGGTCGGTTGTTTGAGTTCAACAGGACCCCAAAAACCACTTCGCACGATGTTTTCTAGAGAGTCTTACCGGAAAGGCTGTGTACTCGCTTGCAGCGCTTCTGTACTCTCACACCTTCCTCTCCTACTCAAGTTGCAACTCTCCGGACGGCCCCCTCTTTCACTATTGCGTTGTTCAATCGCCAGTTCGCAACTAGCTATCGCCGCTTTATGCCCCACTTCCCTCACCGCTAGCGCTCTGTCTCTCTCCTAGTCGGTTTCGCAACGGCGTGCCTGTGTGGGTAGGTGTCTTTCCTTCCCCGTATGCTACTAACCACTGTTGCTGCACGCCCCTCCAATTGTGCGGCGCGTCGTGAGTATATATATATATATATATATATA